AGTAAATACTGCTGTTTAGTACTGTATACTGATACAGTGAACAATATACTGAAATTTGGAAAATATGCCCTGACTATTTTAACTAAAATATAGATCAAATATTCAGAACATTTAGTGTTTCTTAGTGTTAACATTAAAACTTTTGAATTTAATTGCGGTTTAGACAAAATTATGGTTTCTATGAATTAATAAAAATCATCCTTTAAAGGCACAATATGTACTGTAATTTTCGCCGCTAGAGGGCGCTTATTCAAAATAAACAAAGAGGCAAAGGCCTAGTTTGATGACGCTTTGGTGTTTCCATGTTTTCTACAAAACAAAACCGGAAATCGCGGGTGTATGACATCATTAGCAGGCGACACAATGACACTATGGACACGGTCCGTGTCACTAGTTAAAATTGCTTATTTCTCTGGATTTAAACATTCTTCGAAACATTTGGGATAATGTAAGTACACAAGTCAGCAAAATATATAACACTGTTCTAGTGGTTTTTGGATATTTTAATAAAAAAATCTTACATATTGTGCCTTTAAGCTACTTTAGTGCACAAAGATCAAGGTACATAAATATAGAGATATATCTTAATGACATATCTGAGATATACTATCTACTGTACGCCTCTCTCTCTCTCTCTCTATATATATATATATATATATATTTTAGCTATATAGTCCAGCCTGACTATGACAGACAGAAATGGCGTCATGCATGTTATACTTACCAAAGCCTCTTGGGTCTGAGTTGCTGTTGTGGTAAGACTGGCTGTCATCTGTCTCTGAGCCCCAGTTACTGGTAAAAAAGATAAAACACAAATGAGAAATACAGAATAGCACATAAAACTGCCTTTTACTTTGAACTTATGTCCTGGCGATTATCATGGTAAATGCTTTTTTTACTCTATGCAGAAGATTAGTGCTCAACTTGTATAGATTTTTAAACGGCTGATACTGATATCTAAAGACAAGAAAGGTTTTAATATGTTCCTTACAACACACACACACTTACTGTGTGAGCTCTATAGTGGCTCGACGGGAGAACGTCCAGGCTGTCCTCTCCTTCACATCTGCAGGGATCTCTTTCTTATCCTCATAACCCAGAAAATACAGGGAGAATCGCATGGAGGGGAAATCAAACTTCTGTAACAACCTACAAAGAAATTCACATTAAAAAAATACTTAATTGCAAAGATCAGCAAAAACTATTGTACTTGACTGATAAACCCATTCGCATTCTTATTTTCTGTGCATTTTAATATATGAATTTACAATGTCTATTTATTATATTACAAAAATGGAAGTAAAATGCATTAAACATTTCTACAGACATAGCACATTTAGATATTACAAAACAATTAGCCTAAAACTAAAGTAAATCATATCAAGACTGAAGTCCCATTTCTAGTAGAGAAAAAGTTTTCTCACGTCATTCCCAATATGCGTGTGTAGAAATCCAGGGATTTAACCGGATCCTTAACCCGCAGCATCGTCTGCTGCATCATGAAGTCCTACAGCAGTGGCATAAATAACTTTCGGTAAGAATAAAACTGATAAGGTGATGAAAAATGATAAAACAGTGGCATCCAAAGGCCTGAGACCATAATGGAGGGTCTCCATTATGGTCTCTAGCAGCTCTGCTCTGAACTATGGATGTGCTGTTACAAATTATGATTATAATTTGATAACAGCACTCAGCTCTCTGATATAGATGTTATTTTACAGCATCTCTTTGGTTAAAATTGTGCAAATTATGTTAAGATTATTTATGACATGGCTTTTCCAAGAATGGACAAAAAATGTAAATATTTCCTAATATTACCAGGTTATCCATGATGAAAAGTTTGTTAGTGTTCTTATGGTAATATTTATATGTAGGCACTGCTCTGGCTGTGACATTGCAGGAGCCACAGGTCAACATTTCATCTGTGTAAAATGTCAAAGGTCATTCTAGTAACTTATGTCAATCAGCATTACATACAGAAAACAGAATCAAGTGTGTATTGATTTTCATATCCATATGACTCAGCAATACAGCACTTACCCATACAATCTCTACAAACTCAGCTGAGAAACTAACAGAGACCCAGAGATGCAGATAAATCACTGTAAAGTAACATCGATATCAAAGAGATGCTATGAATCGCAAAGTTTGCCTGCAGTAGTTTAAAGGAGAACAGGGAAATGAGCGACGATCTTCGTGTTTGATTGACAGGTCTCGCCCTAGTTCTGGACTCAAGTGCAGCGTCTTACTTTAGTGATGGGGTTCCCCTCTTTACACGCAGCGGCAGCTGCTTCATTCGTCAGCCCTTGGTCGGTCATTTTTAGATGTGTTTCGGCTTGATGGTCACTTGGCGGCTGACACTTTGGCGGAAAGATACTACGCAGGGGGCGTGGTCATTGCGCATAGCGTCAGTCGTCTGACGTAACTGTGGGAGGGGCGATAAAATAACTGAGATGCTGTAATTTCACTTTCATTCCTGCAGAGGGCGAAAAAGTGTTTCTCAGTGAGTGGGTGTTCTCTTCCTTTCAGATAAACGAAACAAAATGGTTAAGAGAAACTCTTATATAAATGCCATCCTGTAAACACGTGACCAAATCATGTGTTTTATACAGTCTATGGTTATGAGTGAAATTATAGGTGCATTTGGCTGTGGGTGAAAACAAGACACATGTTTTGTGTGTGTGTGTGTGTGTGTGTGTGTGTGTGTAAATTGTTTAGTGTATGTGGAGAGTAAAGAATGAAGAAAAGTTTGATTGAAAAAGATTATTTAAAAATCTGATAAAATGTATTGCAGTGATGCAGGTAGAAGAACATGCACATAAATGTAGATATTATGTGAATTTGGTGTGTGTGTGCATCTAAATATATTTTAGAAATTGAATCATTCAATCATTCAAATACAGACATATTAAAATGTGCATCTATTCTCCATTTAGTCTTGATACAATGAACCTTAAATGAAATAAATAAATGGACTTAAATGTCCAAGAGTGGTTTATTGCTTTAATAAATAACAAAGATGGCGAGGGGAAAAAAGCTAGCAATTAAGTTAATACAAATGCACATGGAATGTATATTAGAATATTTGCAAAACTGACGAGATAATGTGATTGTATATCACACAGCATGACACATAATAAATAAATAAATAATTTTCTAATTGGATTGGATAAATGATAAACAAACAAACATACCATTATAAGCCCTCCTAAGTTGACCAGAAATGTACACTTCTGGTTCATCCTCATCCACCTTAGTCTTCCTCAGAATCCCATAATAATCCATTACCTAAAATGAAGTCATGCAATTGATAAAACTGTTTGCTATGACTCCCTTTGACTCTCTCAAGGCCTGTTAACCTTGAAAGCAGTTACACTTGAAACATCAGGTCTCGTATCATGAGAGCATTATTTCACTAAGTTATCTGCTGATGATGCTCTTGCTTTGCCCATAGCAGCACGGAGGAGGATGACAGGTTCGTCCTAAAGAAACATTCCTGCATGTCTTACTTGGAAAAATAACTCCTTAATTATTGCTTTTCTGTGTCTTTTTATCTTACACCTTTAACCCTATAATTATTCAGGTAGCGTAGTCAAAACTAGCCTAAACCATACAGGCTACTAACTCGCCCACAGGTTGAAGTCCTTCAGGAATGACATATAAGACTTCCTTGTGGTTGTTCTTTTTTTGATGCTCAGTTTGTGGTTATAAGTAAAGTCTCTTAGACAATCGCAACAATAAAACCACTTATTTTATTGGTTTCAATACAAAGCAGTTAATGCAAACCTCTGTTATCAATCTCTAAACAGCAATATCAGAGATTGCTTTAATCCTCAGACTTTTACTTGTTGGGGATTTCCAACACCATCATAAATTCCTCCTGTATGATTCAATCTTTCTGTTGATCAAGTCTTCCAGTCTCTGTAACTCATGCTTGATAAGACAGACATCCTTCGTCACTTATGCTGCGGTCTTTTTCCAGCACTCCTCCTCCTCTTCACTGTCTTCAGCCGTCTCATCTCCGCTCGAGGTTGCAAAACGCTCTCTTCACCCCTGTGTACCCTCTTTGTGGTTGATTACAAAGCATGAAACTCATGAAACTAACTTTCACAACTGTTGTTTTATGTTGCAAGAATTTCTCATAGCATCCAAGAATTTTAAACTCATGCGTTTTATAGGCTAAAAATGTAGTAACCATGATTTTTTTTGTATAACCACAGTTTTACTACAAATACCATGATTAAACTATGGTTAGTGTCGCAAAACTATAATCCAAAGTCGGACATCGCTTGTTATGATTTTCAAGGGCATAGAATTTAGTAGGGACGCTATACATGTCCCTACCAATATCCATCGACTGCTAAATTGTCCCTAGCAATAATTTTGATCAAACAATTATATGTCTGTTGTTTGCCTTTATGTCACCACCAATGCCAAAATCAAACCTATACCCTTGAAAGAAGCCTGCGGGGTAAATAATGTAAGGACAACACATCAAAAGTTGAAAAGAAATTCATATTCTGCGAAAAAAAATCAAACAAATTCATGGAAAAGGCCTTTACTTAGCCTACAACTTTATTTTAGAAATTAAGCATGATTTATTTGGACTTTATGTATGCAACTGAGAAAAAAAAAATTTATTAAAGGGGTCCTATTATGCCTTTTTACAAAGTCTTGATTTTGTTTTGGGGGTGTACTAGAACATGCTCTCATGCTTGGTGGTTCGAAAAACACATTATTTTTCACATAATTTACATTATTAAAATACCTTTCTCCCCAGCCTGGCACAAACGGCTCGATTAGTTCCGGCTTTAACGCTGTAGTCCAAACGAGCCGTTCGTTGTAGTTCTTGAAAAGGGATTTTTATCAAACGAAATATCTCCCTTTGGAGTGGACTTTGAGATTTGTAACTTTCTAGATCTTTTTTATGCCCAAACATACACACTACACACTGACTAAAATTTAAAAAAGTGAAAAAGCATAATAGGACCCCTTTAATAAAGGAATGTGAAGTCACGTGCATCGTCAATGCGAGGGTCATGGCTAAAAACAAATAGGCTAAGAATAAACAAAATAAATCATAAATTATAAATGTTAATCACATTATTTTTTTGGTTGCGTGCAGTTTAAGATGCATATTCAAGGTGTATTTATAAGGGAAAGTCTTTCCACAGTCTGGACAGGAGAACGGCCTCTCTCCCGTGTGAATCCGCGAGTGTTTCTGCAGCGTCGTGAGGCGTGAGAATCCGCATCCACACACGGAGCAGCAGAAGCGTTTTCCAGAGTGAGAATCCTTGTGGTGGCGATTCAGATTGGTCTGACTGAAGAACTTCTTATCGCAGTGCGCGCAGGCGAACGGCCTCTCGCCTCTGTGTTTATACTGATGACTCTGGAGCGAGGTGGAGCCAGGAAACTTCTTCCCACACTCACCGCAAACGTAGTTCTTCAAGTTCTTTCGTTTCTCACTAGTGTGTACGTTACTGTGCATTTTCAGCCAGTCAGCACAACGGAAACTCCTCCCGCAGAGATCGCAGATGAACGGCGCCTCGCCCGTGTGTATTCGCACGTGATGCACCAGATGTGTGTTGCGACCGAACTCCTTGCCGCACAACTTGCATCTGAATTTTTTAACAGGAGACTCTGCTAAATGCTCCTGTTCAGTATTAGGCTCCTTTGTTTTGATCACAGGCTTCATATCGATGCAATCAGGACACCAAGATAGAGTAACAGATTGACTTGAGAAGAAAAAAAACAGAATTATTCAGTTGTAACTCAAAGATGCTAGAATATAAATAAAATAAATTGAGAAGAAAGAATTGTTTGTACAAGAGCCTTAAAGGGATAGTTCTGAAGACTGGAGTAATGATGCTGAAAATTCAGCTTCGTCATCACATGGAATACATTTTAGTTGTAATATTTCACAATATTACTGTTTTGTAGTTGGTAAAGCCAAACGTGTAATTTAATTAATCTCTGGTCAGTTTTATAATGTAGGTTCTTTATTAAATACTTTAATGAATTTTAATGCATATGCATGTATTATATTTAAAAAAAAGGAGAACTGTTTATTTGCTTCTTTTTGACCTAGTTTGCCAAGCCCTGCATAAGAACACAAAACATACATTTTTACAAAACCTTTATATTTAATGATATTTAGGCATTTAGATTGCGTTTAACAGATTACACGCAATATGTTTGTAAAAAGTGTCATTGATACGTGTTTGGGAAGTTTTTGCACCGTTTTGATCAGCAGATGCCGCCAACCTGTGGCGTGTAATGAGCGCTTCGAAACGTTTCTCCTTCTGACTCACAGCCTGTAAGTATGTTTTTTATATTTAAAGAGTTTTTATATTTTATATTTTTTATATTTAAAGCGAGTTTTTTGGGCAGTGTAGAGTAGGGCTTGTTGTTTGTCATTTCTCCGATCACAAATGCAGACATGGTTTTATGTTTACGCGGCGCGATGCAACACAATGCGTAAAAAGACAGTATAAGTTATTATAATCCATAATTATGTCCCCACTGGATGCAACGAATGCCTCGTTTATAATGGGTTTTCATGTTTTTGATTCATGGCTCTGGCCTGATAGGGCATCATCACAGTATGGTAGAGGCGTAACATTTCCGTCACACGCTTGAGGTATTCGGCCAATCATAACGCACTGGATAGCTGGCCAATCACAGCACACCTTGCTTTTCAGACCGATGAGCTTTGTAAAAATCGACGCGTTTCAGAAAGGCGGGGCATAGAGGAGAAACAATAATGTACAGTATGTGGAAAATAATGTGTTTTTTTAACCTTAAACCGCATAAACACATTTCATTACACCAAATAATGTTCTTTTTAGCAACATCATATGACCCCTTTAAGTGTGAGTGAATGAAAATTCTGGGTATACACTTAAAACAGTGATAAAAAATGAATACAATTATACAAAATAAGATGCTGCTGCATTTACAGCTCAAGTGAATCAATGGCACTAACCTTGCATATGACTGTAACATTAAACAACATACATAGAAAAAGGGAAACATACATCTGAAACTTGCAAATACGCTTTTAGTTAAAGAAGAAATGGGACTTTTATTATGAAAATGTATGTAGGAGCCAGCAGACTCTTAAATCACTATATGGTTCACTGTTTCTGCTTTCACACTACCATGTTTTCACGGAAATAACACCTACAGAGCACTGAAATCAATCAAAATAGAACAATGAATGACCGCGAACTTGATCTCACAGAAGCGCAAAAGGCTATCAAATCAAAGTATCCTCCCATCACCAAGAAATACGAGTGTAAGTGGATTCGAATGCACTGTCTATTTCGCATGTCATGTAAATCCAGTAACGAACACAAACAAAACCTACTTAAACTAGACGTAATGCTGAAAAGTATGTAATACACACTTTTCATACATTAGAGTTATATATAAGAAAAAGCACGAACGTTACTTGACGGGAACGTTACAGAAACGCACTATTAACGTACAATTTCTGATATGGTGATGCTTCATGAAAATTAATTGAGTCACGTGATACGACGCTCCAAGATGTTTACGTCAGCACGTAATATATTATTTTTATTATTTCTAAATGGTTTCATTACATGCGTCTCATTTTGAGATGATTAATGGCAAATCATGGAGTAGTGTATGGAGTAGTAATGAAAAAAAGCAAAGCTTTTCATTCATCGTTTCGAAGCGCTCGAAACACACCTCCTGGTCAAGACGCCCACACATGTATAATAACATTAGAACATCTCTTACAGTGTTGTAAGAGAAAAGTTTACTTCTGTGATTGCTCAGTGTTTGCAGTTCCACGTTTATATTTATGTAGGTAGTATGTAATACACACTTTTCATACATTAGAGTTATATATAAGAAAAAGCACGAACGTTACTTGACGGGAACGTTACAGAAACGCACTATTAACGTACAATTTCTGATATGGTGATGCTTCATGAAAATTAATTGAGTCACGTGATACGACGCTCCAAGATGTTTACGTCAGCACGTAATATATTATTTTTATTATTTCTAAATGGTTTCATTACATGCGTCTCATTTTGAGATGATTAATGGCAAATCATGGAGTAGTGTATGGAGTAGTAATGAAAAAAAGCCAAGCTTTTCGGAACTTTGAATCAATTGATTCACTTTGATTCATCGTTTCGAAGCGTTCGAAAACACACCTGCTGGTCAAGACGCCCACACATGTATAATAACATTAAAACATCTCTTACAGTGTTGGAAGTAAAAAAGTTTACTTCTGTGATTGCTTAGTGTTTGCAGTTCCACGTTTATATTTATGTAGGTTTTAGATTCGAGTGTGCATCGGCGTCGTGTCATCATTAACGCAATGTTTGATTCTCTGTTTCAGATCTTGATCATACTGCAGATGTCCAGTAAGTATTTTCTTGTGACTAGGGCACTGTTACTTAAATCAAATGTAAAAATGACTGGAAATGTCAGAAGCTACAGTATAGTGGTAAACACAGGAATGAAAACTGTAATTTCAAAGGACAGGTGAGTCATTTATTTCCCACCTGAGTCTTTTTCAACATTGCCTCAACATTTGGTGTAAGTTTGGGTGAGGAATTATATTTAGTTCAGTGGAAGAAGAGGGCAAGACTTAAAAATAGCTCACCGTGAATGTGTATTTACAGTATAACTTTAAAGCATTGCCTCTGTTTTTCACTGTAGGATTCATTCATGGGGTGATTCTCTGGAAGAGGCTTTTGAACAGTGTGCAATGGGAATGTTTGGCTACATGACGGACACCGAAACTGTTGAACCCACTGACACTATAGAAGTAGATTCAGAAGGTGGGACAGTATATTCAACCTTTTCTTTTCAGACCACCTGTTATTACAGGCGTCTATTATATTTGACTCCACATGCACACAGCTAAGTTCGGTAGTTAATTATCAATTCTTTACACACACAGTTCATTCATTTACAGGAGTGACAATCGTATTCTACCACCGAACCGAACCGAACTAAACAACTAGTGGTGAATGATATATTTAAACACATATTAGAGATGTGTCTCTCTATTATATGTTAGCTGCAAGAAAATCACAGGAATATAAGCCTTCACTCATTTGTGTTGCCAAATATTGCTAGAAAAAAACTCCAGAAAAGCCCATAATAAATCCAAATAAATCCAAATACTTTATATTGAAAATGGCATCAAAATATTGAATAATACCAAAATACCTGCCCACATTAATAACTCTGATCGCTTTATGAGCCATAACCAAACAACAAGCCCAAGCACACTTATAATGACAGGACATGGCAACACAAGAGTGCACTTTAAAGCAGCCTTCCAAACATAATACAAGATGTGGTTTAGTGAAAATAGCTGAAAATAACAAGTTTTTGGTCGCTGTAATATTACTTCAAACTTAACAATAAAATTCACCATCTACTTTCCTTGTATGGAAACAAACTCATTCTGCCTAGTATCTGTTGTGTTTCACTGAAGAGGAGGATATTCTGGTGTTTGAACGACATAGGAATGAATTAATGAAGATAAAAATGTCCATTTATATATTTACATTTAGTCATTTAGCAGACGCTTTTATCCAAAGCGACTTACAAATGAGGACAATAGAAGCAATCAAAACTAACAAAAGAGCAACAATATATGTGCAAATGACAAGTCTAGGTTAGCCTAACGCAGTACACATAGCAAGGTTTTTTTTTTTTTTGGTCTGAGAAATTCAGCTTATCATCTATCACAACTCCAAGGTTTCTAGCTGGTTTTGAAGGAGTTATGGTTGATGCGCCTAACTGGATGGTGAAATTTTGATAAAGTGATGGGTTTGTTGAAACCACAAGCAGTTCTGTCTTAGCCAGGTTGAGTTGAAGGTGATGGTCCGTCATCTAACAAGAAATGTCTGTTAGACATGTTGAGATGCGAGCAGCTATCGTCGGATCATCAGGATGGAATGAGAGGTAGAGTTGAGTGTCATCAGCATAGCAGTGATATGAAAAGCCATGTTTCTGAATGACAGAACTTAGTGATGCCATGTAGACAGAGAAGAGAAGTGGTCCAAGAACTGAGCCCTGAGGCACCCCAGTAGCTAGATCGTAGCGACTTGGACACCTCACCTCTCCAAGATACCTTGAAAGACCTCTCTGAGAGGTAAGACTCAAACCACTGTTTGAAAACCACATTTTCCTATAGGGTTAACAGGAGAATCTCATGGTTCACCACCGTATCAAAAGCAGCGGACAGATCCAGAGGACAAAACAGTGCTGATTAAAGGATATGTTAACATTTAACTTGAAAAGTCCTTGCCTTTCTTGTTTAATTAGGCTTAAATTGTTTCTATCACACTTTTTCATATTTTAATGTTATTCTGATCATAGCCACCCATCTGTTTCTATCGTGCGGCACAATTTCAGTGGTTAAATATCCACTTATTATTTAGTTTATATATGATGACGTGTATGGTATCATGAGGTGCATGGCGATACCCAGCCGTACTCTGAGGTTTTTACAGGACGTTTTGTACCAGCCACAGACAGGAGGATTTATTTTGCCAGTAAGCAACCGTAATATCTTTGAGGTCAGACCTAATTTTAAAGGTTGCTAGTTGCCTATACAGTCCAGAAATAATATAATTACAGAAATGAAGTAGATTCTGTCATCATTTACTCACCCTCATGTTGCTGCAAACTAGTATGACTTGCTTTCCTCCACAAAAGGAGAAAGAAAAGGA